ATGATATGACTACTACAGACGACAAGGACACGCTCGTATATAATATAATAATATAATTACATAGCTTTGCGAGTCGTTTTCCACTTCAGTCTGCAACTATAGACGCTTCGTGGAGCAGAACACTCGGGATTGCACAACTTAATTATATTATATTATTCAGTGCTGTGTATTGTTTAGATAAAAATAATTATATTTCTATCTTATCTTGATCAAAGTAATTAAAAACATCTATGTATATTTGTATATTTAAATAAAATGGTTAGGATAATGGTCTAGATAATTTTGTTGTGACAAGATTTTCAATTTTATTTTTAAATTATTTTTTTTTTTTTCGATTGGTGGTAATAATTTTTTTATGCTATTTATTTTTATGTTCTATTCCTTCTTTTAAATTATGTTGATCTGTTGTTATTTTGTAGTATATTTTTCATTCCTTGTAAACGCAGATAGGTAATCTTTTTTTAGACAAGTACCTATATTCATTTACAAATGCTTAAATTACAAATCGTAACGTTGAGTAACGTACAAATCGATACGTTGAGTCAATTTAGATTTTTTTATTTGCCTTGGCCTTTATTTTCAATTTAGATTTTTTTTTATTCAATAGAAAAAATAACTAAATTTACCGATTAAATACAAAGTGACTAAGAAAATCTTAATTAAATAAACAAATCTAAACAGGATTAAAAATTTAATTTGAATAAAAATATCTAAAATGTTAAAAAATTCTAAGTTGAATAAAAAAGGGAATTTGAATAAAAAAAATGCCACGTTGAATAAAAATTCTAAAATCTAGTTTATAGATTTTCTGACTATGCTATAATCCTTATTTTTATTTTATTGTTGTCAGCTAAAATATCCGATTTAATCGACAAGTGATCAAATTTAAAGAGCTCCAATTTTATTCTATATTCGTCCATCGAACCAAGTAAGAGAAAGTCATTCACCGATACTTTTTTTATATGACACGAAACCATTTGAACGACCATTCATGATTATAATCTGCAGTGTATAAGGTGTCATTTTATTTTTTCTTGGTCGCCGCAAAAGGTTAGCTTTCAATGAATCATTATCTTGTCCATTTTAAATCTTATGTTGAAACTTCTGGTTTAAACTACTACAATAATATTAAATAAGTGTATTATAATTTATAAGTATGACGTCTGGCGCATATACCTACGTTTTCCAATACCACTACAGTATACAGTTTACAAATATTAATATTTTAATATACTTAAGTATTTATACAGGTTTGGTTTTTTATCATCCCATTTGAAAATCGTACATACGCACTATCTAGTAACCCACACACACAAACTTACTTGGCAAATTCTTGTCAGGAATAGGTAATGATAAACGCATACGATATAATTTTTTACCCTTAAAAATTTGAATATTAAGAAAACATACTAATGAGTACTTTGTATTTAGTATTTAGATACGCATACACATATAATATCATATCATATCTTCATAGTGCTCGAGGATCGTACAAATGACTGATTTTTTTACTTATAGCCATTTTTTACAAGGAGTTCGATGAAGCAGTTTCGTTATGATATCACAAATTTCCTGCCTCAATACATTTTTATTGATTTTGCCTCTCGAGGATTATAATATAAATTGCTTTGCCAACACGAGGTAGGTAATCTATTTTTATAAATAGTAAGTTATTAGCAGGTATATTATACACTTTTAAAGTAATCACCAATAGTTAATACTTAATAGTAACCATAAGCCAAGTAACATCGGTAGACGGTAGTCGATAACGAATTGAAACAAATGGTAAAAACCTCAAAATAAATAGCAATAATGGAACGCGTCTTAACCATAGATAATAATATTTTCCAACGCATTTGTGCACCAAGGCTTTGTACTGCGTGCACGAAATTGAGTGGCGAGACGACGCGAAAACGGCCGTTGTGATTCTAGATTTCATTAAAATTTATTTCTCATCAAAAAGTTTGCACATTTCTTTTAATAACTTAATTTCTAAATGAACGATTTTAATGATTTGTAAGTATAAAAGTATCATCTGCACACTTTTCTTATGTTTGCCAATTTAATAGGTAATAGGTATTAATTGATTCGGTAGATAATTAGTAACCCCGTCTGTTAAAAATAACAATATTTACAAGGTTAAAATAGTTAACACTCCTGTGCTTCGAGTCTCGAGCTAATAATATAAATATAAATATAGATAATAAATATAGATATAATATTATACATTGTCGTGCCTTTTTTCCTTAGCTTGCTCTATGGCCGTGAGGCTGCGGATATATTTATTATTTTGAATTTTAAATGTTTTACACTCAAATATAATATAATAACACCTATCAAAATATTTGTGATACCTCTTTCGATATTCGTTCATGCATCACGGTCTCCAGTGGCTTGTGTATCCGATTAATAATAATTTTTAATGGACTTTAACGCTCGAATAATTATAATATAATAGGTGTTAATTAATATTAATATCAGTTTTGGGATCACCGAAATTGTTTTGCATAATAGTATATTGGTCTTGTCTGCTTGACTGTGTTTTTTGAAATTCTTGTTAATTTGTTTTCATTTTTAAATGGAGGTAAATTTATAACATTAATATTTATGCGACGTTCAATAATTTATTATTTTGTTCCACCAACATTTTAACCTCCGTTATTTTATTTTAATTAATACATTTATCTCCTAGCCAGATTATTCAAAATTGAATAAATAACAAATTTAAAATATAATACCAAGTGGAGAATCGTTTTTAGAAAAATAATAAAAATTGAATAGGTATTGAATTTTTTGCAATCGTAAATGTACTTAGTGTTTCAAATAATGTCATATATAGTATGAAGAATTACAGACATTAGCATAATATTTTTGCAGCATCCTAAGCTCATTTATAAACAAATTATAGTTGTTATTATTTACAATAAAAAATAATCTCAGTGAGGAATAGAAACATTAAAAGTTAATAATGATTATTCGCATACTATACTCAATTTTTAATAATTGAATAAAAATACCATTACATTTCTAAAATTTCGTATAGATAAATCATACTCAAATCATTAAACTATAAGGGGTAGGTACCTGCCATTATAATAATATATTAATTAAAAAATATGTACTTCAAATGAATATTGTTACGTAAGTATCTCACTATAGACAATTTTCCAAAATAGGTACCACGTGCACAATTTTGTTCGATTTTCAATCAATGATAGAGATAATATCAGTCAGTTACAACAGTTAATAACTGCTATTAACCATCAACCACTATTGACTGCTTGTGAGTGGGTTTTAATTTTGATGAATAAATTATTCCCCCCCCCCCCCTCTTGGTTTATAGTCTGTTACGCCACTGGACTGCTGCACAATTTGTTTTTTGAACAAAATTACTCATGACGTAAACATTAGAGGAAAGTAATAATATTATGGATTATTTTTTGCTGATGATTTTTTTAAATCATTTATCATGCGATATTCTGGAGAATTACGAATAGCGAAAAAATTTCGTTTTCGGCGTAAAATAAATAAACATACAGAGTTTTATTTCTTATTTTTTTGTGATGATCATCAATGTTTATTACGCCGTATAAAAATTGACAACAACCAACTTCAGATATCTTTATCTATATGTATATATTTGAAATCTATTTATATTATAAATTCACTTACCACGGTATACAATTATAAGACAATATAATGTAATGACAATATCATAATATACCATCTATATATCGTGACCAACAGGATATAATGTATTTTGAGTAGAAATATTTAACTCATAACAATTAAATTATTTTGTATGTACATTGTAGCACTGCATCTTTTTAAATGTATATGTACAACTACTCCAATCACCGACCCCAGAGAGGTTATTATATTATGTCTGTGAATAAAGAAAACTTTTGGATTATTCTACTCGTATTATATTGCATAATAATTATTATACGAGTATGCTATAAGTATATATTATATCTTATATCTATATTAAAATTTTTTTTTTCAAAATTATTTACTAGGCTATCTGCTACAATAGTTTGAACAATAATCGATGATCATAAATAAAATCAAACAATTACATGGAAAGAGAGTGAATAAGCCTACCAGTGAAGTTGCTTCAACAAAATAGGTATTGCACATTGGCTATTTCCTACATATAGTATTATTATAATCGCTATAGGTATTTATTCACCAAAATGCTGTGTACAATATTTCACACGGTATAAGAACGATCATGTTAACACCTTGTACATATACCGAGTGATCCATTTAACGTATAATACTCATATTATTTCAAAATCCATTAAAGTTTTTAAAAATATTTTTTTTACGTAATTTTATTTTTTACCATTAAATTGTATTTATTCAGTTTACTTTTTTAGCGACAACTTGCAATTTTAATTCCTTATCCCAAAGCAGAATATTTTCGAGGGTACTTCGATTGTTCGATCTATAAAAATCGAATTTTGAAAAAGTGAAGTTTGTGAGTATATATACCTATTTGAAGTTTGATGATCGGATTTTAGTTATACAGCGAGTTACCTCTCAAAATTCAAATTATTGGTCCTCTGTCCATTTAAACTTAAAATACTTTTGCATAATAACATTCTGCCCTGAAATATGTAATTAAAAATGTATGTTGTTGTTCAAAAGAGGAAGAGACTTTAATAAATAGTTATGTTGTTTACGTCGTTTTGTAACCACTTAAAATAATATAAAGAATTATTTTTCAAGAACGTTTGATAGTTTTCTGAAGTAATGATACCTATAGTATCCAACGTTAAACGGACCACACCGTATATAGTACATAAGGACATTGGTACCTAACGAACTCCTCAAATTTCTTTAACCGTCATCCGTTTTTTTATACTTCTCTTTTTTTTCCCTTATCAGCAATTTATACTAATATAATATTATATTGCAGCAGTTATCTTAATCAAGCCGTACGTGCGTATACAGACGCAGCTATCGACGACGGTTTAAGCGCATATTTTAGTCTACAGATAATAATATATTATTTCGATTTCGTTAGCGTGCAACTCTCGCCTACAATCATAATATAGTTTAATAATAATGAGATAAATAAACGTAAATTAATATCATATCAAATATTAAAATAGTTAGGTCGCGGTCATCGCAGTCATTTTACGTGACGCCGTGTCGATCACGAGCACGTCCGCCGCAACGAACGCTTCCGTCCAAAACCCCAAGAGTCCCATAGGTACACAATAATCGTACCAATGATTGTCAATTTAAAATATTTCAAAAAACAATGGTCGGACTTTCCCGCGTTCGGAATCTCGACGTTTAAAGTGACGAACCCGGATCTCCGCAAAACGTTGTATACGTTGACGGCTTTGCAGTTGGTGAGTATATAATGTTATATATTATTATAATATTGTTTGGGGAAATCAGCCAGTCTGCGCCCTGCACGTAAACAGAAGCTAGGTAATGACGCCGCCGAGCAGTCTCCCCGGATTGCAGGACCAGATTCACATACTTAATACCTGTATAGATGCAAAATGGTTATTTATTATTAATATTTGGTCCCTCCAGGAGAAAGATATTAATTTAGGAGTGGCATAATTGTATAGAGAAGCGTCAACATTGGTTGGCGTTTTTTGTATTGAAGTATGTAAATATACCTACCAGAGTTCATTTTTCAATATAATATATTATTTATTTTTTTATCATTTTGAAAATATTGATTTAAAAAAATTAATAATATACAACATTATAGTATGAATTGTATTAAAAACAAATTATAAACAATAGAGAGTAAGTACTTAATCATTTTATTTTTTCTAAAATGGTATTTTTTATTTGTTTTTTTTTATTTTCTCGATAACATAATATTATCATTATTAGTTGAATTTGTAATATCAAATTAGTATTACATACAACTTGTACTCTTACTTTTAAAGTTTTAACTGAGGGCTAAACTTAGTTCACTCAATATTGACGTATTGTACAATATAAAATATAGATGATATAATATTAGTAGATTAATAACATCATTATGTAAATCATAATTCATAATATTGAAATACAAAAATCAATATTCATATTATATTGCACATCATTGTGTTATTTATATAATAATTAATAATACCTTTTATAGTTCTTAATTTATATATTTATTATTTTGCCGTGATGAAACTTTAAAAAATAATTATTACAAAAATAGTAAATACATTACTTAATACTTATACTCACTAATGATATTATACTATATAGTAACACCTCAAAATTTTTTTTTGTGTAATTTAAGGATTCTTAATTGAGATTAAGTGTCTGACCAGTATAAATAATTGAAATTGTAAATTTATTAAACAACAACAATAAAATATATTTTAATTATTTTACTTAAAAAAAGGCAATAATATTATAGCTTTAGGAGTAAAAATATATTGCTCCAGAGTGAAGATAAAATTGTTCTTATTACATAGCTCCGAGTAGCTCTAACCCTTATTCTAGCTCTGCTGTCGATAGGTATATTAAGTAGGTACTAGCTTGTAATTTGTGTGTTGGTTTTTATTTCAGTGGTTTCAAGCGTTTTCAATAATACTGTTGGTCATCAGCTGCGCATTAGAATGGTACGTCGAAAAAGACGGCAAGATTTCGAATCAGCAATGGACCGGTGAGTAATTGAAAATCGTCAGGTAAATTATTGTAGTACGTTAATAACGTATACCGTATACCTAGGTTTAGCCGACTAGTCATACAATATAATATCATATTATTGTCGTCGGTTTATGTGTGAAACATTTTGCTCAACCTCGGGAAGATTTCCGGAAATTTGCTTTGGGACAAACATTTGTATTTTAACAAATTAAAGTTATCGTTTCACCGGACCGATAACATTCACATACATTCGGTATACGGCGCATTCGTCATGTCGCAAGGCTCGCAAGAGGGTCCATTTTTCTTCAAAAATAAGAAACTGTTTTCCTCCACAAAAAAGGTTAGATACCATTTTCCTCAAACATTTTTTTGAACTAAAATTATGTAAATTTGCCTGCAAATATAAAAATATTTATTCAATATTTTAGATAGCACCAATGTCTTATGTAACATATTATAAAGGGAGAATTTATAACGGTCGATTACATTGTAACATCGTAACTTTGTTTACTCCAAATTAAGATAATTACGTAGGTACTTACATGTTTATTTTATTTATTATTTATTTATTTATTTATATTATATTGACCTATAGGTACCTGTACCTATACTGTCTAAAATGATTTACTTAAACTACTAATACTTAGCGGTAGGTAGGTATAGTATAATAGTATACATATGAAATATATACATTTTATATTATAGGTAATGCATTGATGCCCCCATTATTTTATTTATTATTAATCGTTTTATGACTAGTAAAAACAAAAAAATAGTATGTGCTATGTATATATTATGAGTTTATCATAATAAATGTTTATGCTATAAAGAGCATCTTATTATTATTATATTTATAGTATAATATATATATTTCATGAGTATCTTTATAGGTAACTGCTCAGTGTTCATAATAGGTACCCCCTTAAATAGCGTATATATTGACTATTGAACTAGGTATATACAGAGTAAAGTAACATTTTTTTATATATATTATACAATTAAAATGTGGTATGAATATAATACATTATACAGTACACACGGCTGTATGACGTAAGTTCCAAAAATACAAAAATTTATAAAAACGATACGATTTTGGCGTTTTGGAACGATACGACTTTTTTCTTATCTCATTTTGGCGCTTAGGTATGCCTCCCGCCGGTACACACAAGACATATATATATATATATATATATAGGTACTAAATTATGGACAATATAGGTGAATTTCTTATGCTCTAATAATTTAAGACAATAACATTAAGACTCTTTGGTGTAAAATCGTGTTATGTTTTCTCATTTATAAAAAGGTTAGATGTGCGCAATTGTATTACACCTGTAAAGTATCCAGGAACTTTTCATCACAATTAAATAAATAATAATAATATGGGACGTAAGTACGTACCTATAATATAATGATATTTGTACATTGTACGCAAAATATCACGTCATGATTATAACAATAGGTATACCTACATTGGTAAATTATTTTTTTCATTTGCGTCAAAAAATAACTGTACAGATATATCGTAGGACAGTTTTGAATAAGTGTGCATTATATATATATTGCTATTATTATTGAACTAATATGATTTGTGTTTCACAGGTTACGGTCAGTTATACTTCAATACCTCTCTGCTATTCCAAATATGTGACGTCATACTATCGATGTACGCGAGTTATCATTTTTTACGAAATGCCACTACCCGAGTAAGCACTAACACATGCAACTAAATATACTGCACTGTACCTGTTGCTTATTTTTATCTATATTTCTTATTAATATTGAATAATGTATGGTGAAGGTTTCCGACACCCATGACACTATTGTACTAGGTACCTATATAATTTATGAAATGTTACTATAGGCAAGATAAAAATCGTACAGTACCTACTTTGACGTATTTTAGAAATTTAATTATATATACCGTCTTATATTCATTATATCTTTGAGGCTATAGGTATTATTATTTATTTGGTGCAAATACTTCTTACTATTAATTTTAGTGTGTATAAGTAGGTAATAAATTATTATTATTATAATATAGAGTACTTACCTAATTATATGACAGTGACTAATAAAAACATATCCTCTTCGTTTGTTTTACAAACGTTTAATGTACAAATTGTATTCAACAACAATCCACAACTATATTTAGAGTGTGTGATACAATGTCCCAAAACTATAACAACACTTGACTAACATTATACATAAACCATGCAATTACCTATAATATTTCGTATGTTAATGCAATATTTATTATTTGGTCATACGATACAGGGGATTCTCTAAAATTACAATTTTTTTCTCCAGCGTTTACAACATATTGTTATACGTACGACTAATCTGCAATATATTTTTATTTGATTGCCAAAATAGTGTAACCTATTAGTTCTTAAAATTATTATTATTTTCTTTTTAAATTCTTTGTATTTTCCAAGATATTACTTGGTATGTGAAATCGGTTTTGGAAAGTTATTGCACATAAAAGTCAATAATATAAACCTTATACTGCAAGAGAATTTAAAATTGATAAATACCTATTTTGAAATACATAATCAGTTGCAGTAGGTGTTATCGTTTGAAAATTGAATAATATACAAAATCTCTATCAAAGTCTGTCTACACGTATCGGTGGGGGGTTGGTGAACATAAAATAAAAAGCGTAACGTATACTTCGAGTGGTTAGGCGATTAGAGATAGGTACGATGCAATATATCGTATATTATACATTATCGTTTTGGCCGTAAAAAAAGGATCGGTACCGAGTTTACATAATATACGTATTATATTCCTATAACTGAAACCATTTTACTGTCTGCACTCTGCCGAATAACAATAATATTATACTTTCTGGATTGAAAAAAAACCCTACTCACTGGCCAAGTTTACAAACGCAGTCTATAATACCTTATCGGTTTTTTTCCAAACGGAATTCTATATCCATGCGCGTGGCAGTTGGCGAAAAGTTAAACGATTTAGAACAAATACATATTAGACTGGCTAGAAAATGCTATATTTGAGTGGTTAAAAATGTACAAGTAACTATAATAAATATTGAAAACACTGATACTTTTTTACCACGAGTAGATTTTTATTATGCAGGTACGCGATATTTAAATAATAAAGTCGGATTTCATTTCGAATAGGTGGCGACTAGCGAGAGAGTGAGACGTCGTGTTTGTCACCGCTGAGAACTCGCAGATATCAATATTAATATACATTTCTACCTGGATACATTATGCCAAAGGTAGCTTATTTATAAACATTTTCCGGGAACCTACGACACCGGTTGCGGTCACTGTTCATAATATATTAAGGGTATTTCTGCAATATTACTAATTATGGCGTCAGGGATAATTTCATGGTCATATTTTTTTCGTCGTCGATTTCAAAATATAATATTATAAAACAATACACTGTTAGAACTACCATATTATACACCATGAAATGACTGCATATAATAATATTTTACATTAACTTCATACGACAAATTACGGTCTAAGTAATGTTTTCCTTGAGCGTTACGAATATCAAATATACAAATTACATAAAACAATAAGACAAATCGACTTGGAGTGCGTCTTCCGACGAGTTTCGGGTATATAAAACGCTTAAAATCAACACACTTTAAACATAATAAATATTATTATATTTAATAATTTAAGTTTTAATTTAGAATGTATATACGCATGGCGCTTATACCTACGGTGGAAAGGTACCTATATAATATTTTTCCTTGCGTTTCAAATAATCTGTTTTCTCGTTTCTCTAGTTATTATTATTTGTATACATTGTAATTTATTTATTACTATAAATGATATTATTCTATTGGGCTTCCAAGCAAGTTAACAATATATATATATATATATATATATATATATATATACTATTATACTATGTAGGTACCTAAATAATACCCGGAGAGTATTATTTTACTTGTGGAGAACGATTTTCAAAATATTATTGTGCTTGTAACCATAATAAAATATTCACAAATCCATAACGAAAATCTTAAGCTTTAAAGCAATTTGATGTTATGCAATCAATTAACCAAATATTTAATAACAATTATTATGCATGTAGGTAATAAATATTTTAATATGGTCATTTATGTCATTAATCATTATCAACCCACTTTTAGAGTGATAATTTAAGTTTTAATTTAAAATGTATATCTCCAGCAAGATATATAATATTTTTCGCTTAATTTTAAATTTTGCTTTCGAGTTTCTCTATACTACTATAATTGTTGTACTATTATCATTTAGTCTACTTCATAAAAAATATCTAGAGAGTATTATTTTACTCTCGTTGAGAACGATCTTCAGTGTATTATCATTATATATTAAGTTATAATGTTACACAAACTCTTAACGAAAATCTCTAAGCTCATAGCAATTTTTTGTTGTATAATTATTTTATTTAATATCTTACATAATATCAAGGCAGTACATAGTTAATATTTTATTTTTGTAATTTTTTAAAAGATATTGCTTTATCAGAACCAGCAGAACGAATTAATTTTGACTCACATCTACGTGAGAAACACACAATTTCCGATATCACATATTAATCTATGTATTAGGTAAATAATTCGAATGAAATATAGTTTGAGATAAACCACACATGACTACTACCTAATTGAATGGCATTTTGTTTTTCTATGATGTTGTATTCGTAAAATATTTCAATTGAAAAGTATGTGTATGTGTTTTTCAAAATAATTATTTACACTTATCCAATATTACTTTTATAGTTTTATGACATAACGGTATTTATACTAAACTTTATTTAAACGTTGTCTTGCTACGTTTTTCTTTCAGTACAATAACATACAAGACGTCAGGATATGGATAATAGTCAACAACCTTTACCTCTTGTCGGCGGTAGCGTGTTTTCTATTCGTGTTGTCCAGAGTCAGTAGTGTCATAATATGCATTAAATCGATAACCATATTGAGTAAGACGTATAATAATATAATTATAACTGTTTATTATAACCTCATAAATTGTGATTGCAATGTTACAGTATTTGCCAATTACAAGGTATACATCGTTCATCAGATTTACAAAGACGAAAATTCGTCATATATTTTTTTGGAACAAGCTTCACAAAAAGTAAGTAGGCAGAATTCACGTCGGACATGTGAAGTTATGCTAAATTAACTAAATGTTGCCTTTTTTACATCAGTCTGTCGACGGTGACGTTCAGTCTCCTCAGAATTTCGACACCGTGGAAGTTGAAGTGGAATATTCAGAAAAAGTCACTTTCGAACCACTGCTCTACACGGCGAATTAATAACCAAAGATAATATATACCTAAGACGGCTATCATATTTGTATTCACAAATATACATATATATTGATATTAAAATAAAGTTTCAATGTCTATATGGGTTTAAAGATAATATATACCTAATAGATTTATTTCTTATCGCCAATGATTTTATAACGATATAATACTGTAAGTCTTTTATTTTATAAGTTGTAAATATAATATATCATAATATTATACATATTATTAAAATAAGCATCATATTCATAATTTACACTTTGACGGTTTCCGAACCTACATAGTGCATCCTCCCTTCACTCTTCATCATAGATATGGCTATCCAGTGGTCTCCAATAATTAAGTATATATTGATTCTAAATGTTACCATAAATCAAATACATACATTTTATTATTTTGAAATCCCCGAATCATTGGTTAACTTTAAAAAAATCGTCAAAGACTATAAAGTCTGTATACCTTCGTCTAAACTGGCATAATAAATTTAGTTGAAAATGTCCACTACCGCCTTAAAAATAGCTTCTAAATCTTCTCATACTTTTCCCATCACACCGGTTGATTGAGCTGCCCAGACAATCACATTAACAAAATACTATTATACTAATCCAAAATCTTAAGAACGATATGTTTTGTACCCCGATGGTTGGCTTATCAGATACATAATATTTTTAATTCTTAATTTCTATTGTTAATAATTATATAAAAATAGTATATCAAACAAATTTCAATTAAAATGGATCAAATCAAAAGAATCACATCGTCAATATATATGTATTTATTCTCAGTAACTTCAATTCTGTTCATATCATTAATAATTATTATTATTTTTAGCTACCTAACACTTATAAATATAGTTATGGTTTTTATCATGTTCCAAAAATGGGACATGCATTGATGACAAATCTAAATTTGTTGTAGGTGGGACATTTGTCCAGGGCCCCGCGCTTGTTAAAGGGCCACTCGATTTTTAATTATCATCTTATTACCGTAAGACACATTGACATTTTACATAATTACATTAAAAAATTATAAATCTATAAATGTATTAATCTATTCTACACATCACACAATATGTATTATATTAATATTATTCCTATCACCTGCAGTTATTTGGAAAATGATATTTAAATTTATCACTATAATTATTGTTTTCTCTGTGTTCTTTATTTGGAAAGGCTTTCTGCGTATTGCCGTATGTCCGTATGGCAGCATTATAGAAGGGCCAAGAGCTATATTCTTAAAATATTTATTTGATTAGGCATCTAAAATTCATAGGTTCTTATTTCAATTATATATAATATTGTTGTTGTACGTAGGAACCTAATTATTTATTATTTTATTATTTGTAAATAATTTTGTGTTAACACTTATAATAAAATAAAGGGTAAGAATGCCCTAATATTATTATTTTTAATGTTTAAAATTCGAAGAAAAACAATATTTTTTTTCTAAATCCTGATATAAAAAAAGCTAAAATTGTACCCTTCTCTGAGATACCTAAGAGCTAATACCTTGTCCAGGGCACACGAATTAATATATTAATTAGTATATTAATCCGTGCCAGGGCCCCGCAATACCTAGCCCCGGCACTGCCTCTACTAATATAACCTACATGACTACATAGTTGGTTTAACTCACCAAAATCCTTGAATATCCCCACTAACCTCTTCTCCATTCTTAAATCAAATTCAAAGTTGCTATTAATAAAATAATATCATTTATATTGGAGCTTTGAAGGATGGCTTCCTCAATGAATTTTGTAAATTTTTTTAACGTATACTGCGAATGTCTGCAATAACTTGTTGAGCTATCATTGTAACTCAAACTGCTTACCTATAAAGTATTATATTTTTTAGCTAAAATTTGCAGATTATACATTGTTAATATAATCGATTCAACAATATAAATCTATATTTTGAACGTAATATGAATAAATCATTCTTGCACTCGATATCAGAAACATTTTTAGTATATCATTTAAATATTACATAATGATTTTTCAAAAACATAATATATTGTATAATATTATGTATACAATGTACTATATTATATGGGCTCTTACTCGAGTATACATTGAATATAATAATTAGTGATGTAGTGGTATTTTTCAACTATTAGGTTGTATTGTACCAATGATTGGTAGTGGTCTATTTTAATGATTAAAACAATTTTAATTAGTAAATAAATTATAATTTATTATTATTAAATATTTGTTTTCAAATAATTATATTCAACCGTCAAACACAATATTTATTCACATTTTCGGAAATGACTATATATAAAATGAACACTTTGTTTTAAATATTACAACGCACGTGCGCAAACTATTTCTATTTACAATTATTGTTATTTGCATTTAGTTCACCATATACTATAGTCATAGAAAGATGTAGTACGGGGTAAGAAAATCTCAGTTTATTCATATTGTATGGTTATTATTAACTTATTGTCAAATTATTATGTTAAGACCGTAGTACTTTACAGCGTTTTGGCTATAGCTAGTCAGCAGTATATACAGTAGGAAATGTTATGAAATTGGTAAGACACATAGTTCAACTATTAGATAAGTTCCTATAGCACATAAAAGGATTTTCATGTAGAAAAGATACATACTGAGAAGTTTAAATATCAATTTTATAATAATCCATTTCAGTGCTGGTGGAACATTTTTCCATCACGCGCATGGAAAAATCGGGTTTTCTCGTGTTTGGGGTTGTGTACAAAATTGTAGCAAATAAAGTACATAATACTGTCAAGGTTTGATTTTAAGATTCGAAAGTGGCAGTGCTGGCGAAACGGACCTGGTTCAGGTGTCTTTGAAACCACCTTTTCGAAGAAGTAGACCTTGTCAATGTCGGTGTCTAGGGGGAATTGGTCTCCTCGAAAGTCGGCCGTTCCGGGCACGCATTGATATTAAACTGTATCATCTGTCTCCGTTTAGGCCAGTGCACAGAAATCCAACACTTCTCGGTCATCCTGGATATGTGCCGATGATACTGCTGACTCGAATTCGACAAAAAAAAAAAAAAAAAAAAATGTGAAACGACCCAAAAATAAGGTTAGCAGTTTTTCGTTAACTATCGACGTAAAAAAACGACATCTGCGACGGAGGCTGACTACTGTAATTTCGACTTGTTCGAAAACCACCGTAATCCCGTCTATTGCAGGTTTGAATGTATCTGCAACCTGACATTTCCTTCAAATATAATGTTATTTTTTTGAGTTGAGAACTGGTTCGGTATATTAACAATAGCTTATCGTGAACTATTTTAAAATAAAATTTGCATAAATAATAATACCCATAAAATAAATGCACGGAACTTCGTGATGTGCTGTAGTAAAATTGCATACACTGAGCGCCGTGTGAAGAAAGTATTTGTATCGATGATAATAGTATTAATACAATTATTTATAATTATTATTGCTTTTTCTATTGGCATTTCCAATAGTTAATATTATTTCATATTTTAATTCTTTGAACTCACCCTTTTTGACTCATGTCACAAACAACAAATCTCAGTTAAAACTACATTTCGATGAATGTTTAGTTTTTTTGAAAAAAATATTTTTACACGTTATGTATTTTTGACGAGCGATAACTTTAAATTTTATAATAAAATATTGAATATCAAATTATTATCATTCTTTTATTTTCCTTTATTGTTAGCCTGGTAGATTATTATTTTAAGTATTACATATTTTTCAATTTTTTTTTATCTTTATTATTATTATTATTAAAATCCACTACAACATAGATTATTGGCTTTTGGTGTTTACAATTTGTTTATAAAGAGGTGGTGTTTAATTAAAAATATAACATTTTGTACAGAAAGAAGGCGAACGGGGACAGTCTTATGTAGTAAAATTTCAAGACATAAGTAGGTTATTCAAATACGTTGTATAGTATGGTTAATTGTAAAAAACTGATTATTTTTTCGATGTTGTACGGATCTCGACCTAGTGTTTAATTTAAACAGTTATTCAGTCATCTAATTTAAGGTTGTTTCTGATGTCGTTGTTTTCTTGCAGAAACAAATGATGTGTTGAACCGAGGGTATTTTTCCACACGATTGGCGTGGTTTAGGATCCGTTTTGATCATTAGATGTTTATGAAATGAATTAACTATTAAATGAAACTTAAGCTAATTTTTACAAGTTAATATTATTTTTAGTGAATAATATTGTTTTTTTTTGTCTATTATCTTCGTTGGGACCAAGTGAGTCATGAAGGTTTCTGGTATGTTATAATATTTTAGACTTCTTGTGTGTCTCAGCATTCTGTGAATATATTTTTGACAGATGTGGGATAGCAGCATGTTTGATATATTCTTGGTAGTTTTCATTCATAAGATGCGAGCATGCATGTAATGTATTTTTTTAAGTTTTAATATTATTAATAAGAACAATTTTTAATATTTAATACATATAATATAAATACTATCATAACATTTATCTTATGAAGACCTATTATAATATTTTAAAAACTTGCAGTGTATAGTGTTCGAAAATTCAAGAATAAACCGTTGAGAACATGAAATAAAAATGTAAGGTTGCCATTATAGAAAAAGTTATTCTCCATAATAAAAAATGTTTTCTGCAAAAACGCCTTGTTAAAAGCATCGACGTCGTCAGGTTGTAAGTAAAATGAAAAAAAAAATACTAACCATGATCGTCTTACGTTTAACAGTAATGTACAGCTTAAAATAATATTCATTATACTTGTACCGCAATTTGCATACCATCTACATAACATGTGCTTACGCGTTTGGAAGTTAAAAAGCTTCGAAAATGCATTACAATTTTTTTATTTTGCAATGTATAATTTATTTTAATTATAAGGTAAAAATATCAAATGTAGTACATTTACGCATAGCTTACGATACATATTGATACACTATCGGCAGCTAAAGCCTAAAAAGAAACATTGAACTCTTCGAAAAATTATCAAATCGTCGTGATCTTCTGCATTTTTTTGCGCAAAGTGGAGTGACATGATGTGATTTCAATTTTTTTTTACTGATATTTAACAATTTAAAATATAAAATCGATTATAGTTTATTCTGAATTTAATTTTACCTATACAATATTATTTGTAATAATTTGTGAAATAACCGTAAGGAATATAAAATACTTGGGTTTATTTAATACTTTAATAATTTCGAAAATATCAACAACGGAGATATTTTTAAATATTAATTTTTAAATAATCTTGTTTCTTCTAACATAAAAAGGTATAATTTTTGGGATATTCACATTATACTTGGTTAAAAAATAGAAGGGTTATAATAAGTGATTGCCTAGAACCTAACTCGGTATTTGGGAAGACAGTAAATACAAAGAAAACCACTCTGTCGACTATTATAAAATGTACTTTTGTTGGTATAAAATATTTTCCAATAAAGCACATCACCGTTTTTTTACCATAATATTATTAAGTATACAGTTTAAGTAGTAATATACTTAAGTCTGAACCTTGACAGTTATCTGGAACAACCATATTATTAGCCACAGTGATTAATTTTAGACATTCGCTCTAGTATACACTTAAAAAAATACTGGTGAAAAAACTAATTTAATTGCCTAAAAGCTCAAGTTTTAAACTCTTAAAACCAATATAATATTATATACCCGTTGGGCAAAACCTTAATGGCTTTTGTATATTATAAATTCTTTAAAAAAAAAACAATAAAAATAAGAACAATTATAATCACAATTCCAAACGATATCAATCTGTATATTATTATATTAAATCTTCATTAAGGCATTAAGCTGTATAATACGATTGAATAGTACAATAATACCCCCCTGCAGTGCATGACGTATACTAATCATATTTGGAGTCACAAAATAAGTTGTTTTACTTAAACGTTTTTAACATTTTCGACCGTCGTTTAAAGATCAGACACAAGATAGTTGCTCCTTCTCTCGTTCTCCGCAATATAAATCATCAGAATACAAATAGAATATTTTTCACACCATGCTTACCCCTATCATAGAATGTATCGAGAAGCTAGGTCATAAAAAGAAAAAAATACAACTTACTAGTTACTTTACACAACGTTTATACTTACAAGTTATTAAGAGATTTCAAAAATATTTGACAAATTGTATATAATTTTAGTAAACATAAAATAATTTAAATTTTTGTTTGTATGCATTAACGGATTAACGTATTGAACCTTTGTATGCACTCTGAATGGAACTAACACGACAGTTGTGTCGAAAATTCTTGAACATACGTTAAATGAAAATCTCATTCCCTCTCTTTTGACCTCAAAGATAAGAGGCATCAATGATTCGGTAATCGCCTGACGAATTTTGTTTTTTTTTTATGGGTAAGTTTTTAATTGATTTCTGGTTTTTCAAATATTATGTAATAATCATAATAAGAATAATAGTATCATAATTTAAAAAAAGTGATATTTTTATAAAAATAATAAGTCTCGTTTAAGTTATTTTTTCTTCAAACTTACTTTTAATAAAAGCTTAGCAGTTAACACTATCTGGTATCACGCATAGTAGTTAACTATAGCTTACACTATCTCATGTTTAGGAGTTAACGAGTTAACGCTACCTATCTCGTGTAGGAGATTACCTACTTTTGTAGTAGTTTACCATTCCCCATAGCCCAAATTATTATATAGATTAGGTCCGCCTCGTGGTTTTCGGGGTATTCCAAAGCCGACGGCAAAAAAACCAAGCGAAGATAATAATTCCTTATTTATTGTCGTTATGTCATTACGATAACACTCAAATATAATATATTATAATGTGTAAATATCATAATCATTTTTGTTCGTCTCCCACGCATACACACATATTAATACTATATACCTATATTATACAGAGTGATTGTTTGAAGTCATTACGCGGAAAAACACAATATTTTTAATTTTTTAGTATGATGAACAGTATTTTTCCTAAATATTTATAAAACCAAATTTTTTTGCTACCTACCTACTTGTTTTCTGAGATATTGATATTACCCATACAGAATATCGACGAAAAAAACTTTCTGTATATTATATATATTATAAGGGTATAAATATTGATCACAAAACGGAAATGCAAGGTGTCCATTCAAGTTAGTATCCAAAATTGCTCTCAATCTGTAGAATAATAGTTGAGCTTGATGATTTTTGTAAAAAAGTTTAAATTCTATTAATTAGGTTCCGTCAAGTATCACACAAGACCAGAAATAGTATAAACAATAATATTACCAAAGCCTTAGAAAAATTTGATCTAGACGATGATATAAAAATGAGTGCAGTAGGATCAAAGTGTTATTCTAAAAACTGTGAGATTTAAATAAATATTTTTATAAAAATATTATTTTGATTTCCATAAAGGTAACACTATGTTGTTCAAAACATAAATATTTACTAATTTAAGGCAGGAACAATAAAGTAGGTACATAATATTATGTGGGTTTGTATAAAATGACAATTATGTCGAGAATACTGAAAAAAAGTACTTACTTATTGATTATTAGTTTTTGAAATATGATCTGGTGGAAGATTTCTAAAAATATTTAGACGTTTTCATTGTTTTCATATAATTTCAGGGTTCCTAATCGACTGCAAAACAGTATTGCTGGTTGTAATAGGTATAGGTGATTAGCATCCGACCAGGAAAGACATGATATAAACAATTTAGCCAGCATTAAAAATAAGTACTTGTGGTAATATTCTAATATTACTTATAAAAAATAAATAGTGCATTGTTATTTTTATTATTTTATATCATAAACACGGGGCCTGAAATTAAACTAAATTTCGTTTGATTAACACATCACAAGTTATTACAAATCACAATTAATTCATAGAAATAAACCTAACATATCATTGTTCACAACAAAATAGTATACCCAACCGGCAACCATATAGTTTTTTTTTTCATTTATTAATTTTTAAAATGTTTCAGCACATTAGGTACTATTGCAAGTACGATACATTACATTACAATTACAATTTAATATTTACATTTATTTTAGTGATTACAATGCTATAATAATTCATCATAATATATAGCTTTAATATGCAGTTTAATTATTATACGGCAATACTTTGAATTGCACAATATCACGTCTGCAGCAATGTGCCTATTTACAAATACTTCGTATTATTATTAGTTTCAAATTCGAGTGGGTACGCTACATAACACTGTGCAACACACTGTATTTGTACCTACTTATTATATACAATAATAATACTATATTAATATACGCGACAGCAGAAAATTCTCGAACCGTCGTTCGTCCGCACTCGATTCATATTATAATATATTCACCTTCACACGCACGCACGACAACGTTGCCAAAGTATACGCGATACTCATAAGTACCAATTGATGTAGTGTAGAATAGTAATTTTTTACCGTTTGAAACTATTCACAGCCGAATGTGAATAGCGCGCTTATACAATTATAGATAACTAAATTATATAATATTACTCTATCCGCACAACCACGCGTACCGTTGTGGTATCTATATAGACGACTCCCGCAAGACCAGAGTATCTCATCTGCAGGTATCTTTCCTTCGTTGCGATAATATTGAATTACAACACAATATCGTTCACGTACAATAATAATCATAGTAAGAGTTTACCACCACCTCGATGGCCGAAACACTGTGTTTCTTCGGACTGACGACCGTCCGCGTGGGCGCACGTGTCGTTGCTTATTTGCAATTCGTGAGTATTAGAATATGATATTTATGTACGACGTATTGTCAAGACGCGCAGATCGATATTATTTTTTTTTCTGAATCTTTACGATATAGTGCAATAACTATTGAGTAAATAATTTAATCACCAACAGACTGAAAACCGGTTAGTCCGACCTATTATAGTCATATAGTACAGCGGAACTTCAATAACTCGAATCGATCTGGCACGAAAAAAATTCCAGTTATAGAACAAATTGCATATAGATATCGTGGTTCCACTGTAGTTCCACACACCGACCTGCGTGCTTGGTGTGATTTAAATTGGAGCCCAAGCTGTTTAAGTTTGAAAGTATATTAAATTATAGGTGTTGTGTTTTTTCTGTCATTATTCAGTTAGTTATGAGGTTATGACTCACAACGACTTACGAGACAAAACTCATATTTTGTGGCTATTTTCCCTATCTTACACTCATATAAGAGTTGTCACTTCACTCGATGATTCACCTAGGTGTTTTAAAATATATTGTACATTTTTTTATTGTTATTTTGCTATCTTATATTTATTTTTAAGTCGAAGACGATAGTAGAATTAAACTTTCAAAACAACATTGATTTTTTTTCTAAATGCATAAACAACTATAGGTATTAAAGAGTATTAATTTCGTAAAAATGCGTGTAATGTAACACGTGTTTCAACTTTTCCGTATATATTAAAGTCTTATAGTAACTACTAGTTTAGGTGTCAACAAATAAATAAACGAATAGTCTTCCTTACTCCTCTATCGTCTTCAGCATAAAAATGCACACAGGACAAAATAATGAAAAAATCAATATTAACATAGTTTTAAAATAGGTACTTCACAGGTGTACCTACGAAATGGGTGATTGTGCCGTGACCACGATGTCCCTGTTGTAAATTTCTCAACATCTCCTAAATTGGTAGTATTTAATCATCAGATTTTAAATAGATCGGTTTTTATATGTCTGACTACAACAGTTGAACTTTAAATAATAATTTAGAGAATAGTATCGTGTTGTATGTTACTTTAATGCAGTTTTCTATGACAGATTTTTAAAAAAAATGCTTTATTTTGTAAACATTAAAACTGTTACTCTAAACTATTATATAAACCTGCTTATATGGTTTTTATTTTCGTCCCCCAGTGGTCGCAATTGCTAGTCATCACGCTGTTGATGTTTAAATATTTCAATCAATGGTTGGACACAGATGAGAGTCCCACTTCCTCGAACACGAATGCGACTTCCTCGAACACGAATGCGACTGCCGCAAACCAGACGTCGACACCAATGAGTAACGCATTATATTATTATAACATGAATGGGATTGGTGGCGGTCAATTATTTCAACCAAAACATACTAATCTTTTGGCAGATTAAAAGAGTGAGGTGATGAGATTTTAAACTGATTTGAATTCATTATTATGTGTAAAATTCACCTACTGGAGATAGATCAGTCCACTTTTATCGACGTAGTTCCGAAACTCCTGTAAACTTGATAAGAATGTTTTAAAAATGTAAGCAATTTCGCATATTGATTATTCGGAATCAGAAATTTTAAATTGTGTGACTGATCGATCTCGACTAGATATCACAAGTAAGTAGTAACGCATTCAGAACCGTTTTCAGAAGCCTTATCATATTATATCAGTCGTCGATCGGTATTATTGACAAAAAGTACTAACATTATACTTTAAGCCAAAAAAAATAAATAAATACACGTTCTAAAACGTTCATGGGCACGACAGTGAGGCGGTGACTTGTATAGTTGTACCTACGTACAAGTGCGAAAATGGCACGGTGTAATTCAATTTTGCAAGGAGTAAGGACACACACATACAATAACACACACTAATAATCATTTATTTCACCCCAGTCATAAGTCACACTCGCACGAACTTTAAATATTGCCTATTCTGAATATTGCCTAAAATATTCACCACCACCAATCCCCCTTGATATTCCCCTATTTAATATAATTTAAAAGATTAAATAACTATGTTATTAATTTTTTACTTCTCCCTTCGTTTTCGAACGATGTTTATCGAGGGAAGGAATGAAATTGTCTGCAAAACACTATTTCTTGCCAGTGGAGTTAATAATAATAATATAGTGTTTATCGCTCGAAGGTTTTTTTTTTTCAAATAAGCTTGTATTATTATATTATTATTATTAATTGCAACCAACTAAGTAAATATTGTTGTACACATAATATTATATTTTACGTTCACAGAATATTACAGCGAACTGGATTTCGACATCTCGATCTTTTCACAACTGTCGGGTTCACTGCTGATTATGTACACTAGTTACTATTTGAGAATAGCCACGTACACTGTAAGTAAATAAGCATTTTATAAAAACGTGTTTTCAAAAAAAAAAAAATCGAAACATTAGTTATGAAGATAATAATTTGATATCGTAACCGCGTCAAAGTAAAATACAATTATGTACTTTTGGCCGAAGACGATATAAATGGATTTCCATTTAAACATCAAGTTACAACAGTCAGGGGTCGACAACCTTTTTTATCTCGATGGTCAAAATCTAAATATGCATTTATTCACGGGCCACAATCATTTAAATTCACCTTATTTCATTTTAAACAAAAAAGTATAAATATATCAAATTTAGTTGATTTAAATTCATAATTGTTAGGTTTATTTTGAACAAGGTATCTACAAATTACCGACCCCTTTGTAATTTTATTTTTTTAAAGTTATCACACTTCAATCGATTGAAAATTATTCAACTAAGTATAACCGCTCTGGAACTTAAAGAATCGTACCCACTTTTAATTTGTTGGAAACGACGTATGCCTAGAAGAAACATAATAATTATGATAGTAATAATAATTAACATCTATCGTATAATAATACCTACACTACCGATTGTAAAAAAACAAAAGTATATCTCAAACGATATTTATGAACGACCTTTAATATTCCCCCGAAGTCGTATTGGTACTTTTTATACATACAAAAAGCCCCCTATTAAAATACAAAAACCTTCTAGAGGCTCATATTAAAGCTTTTGTATTTCTTGTCATTATATTTTAAATCAAACGTGTATTGTCGTGTGAAATAATTATAATACAATATAATATATCACGATATAATGCAGTATTGTTAAATCGCTCGGAAAGTCAGCTTTCTGGAAACTCGCACCGCAACCGCTCCTCGTCATATCAAAGCAACAACGTCTGCTCCAATAACCTGTTTTACAAAATATACCTATAGGTACTCGTTACTCCACCAGTCGTTTTTTTATTATTTAGTCAAACGACAATATTATTTTATAATAATAATATTAATTTTATATACACAAACTAAACGTATAATCATCCCGATGATTGAATATGCACGCGGTGCTTAAGTCGTGCTCAGCCTGCTTAAATTGATCTATTAGCTTCTAATTGTATTTAAAAAAATGAGGCTGACAACTTACGAATAGCTAATAAGTGATAACTTATAAGTAATTGAGTAATTACATATGTTGAGTAATAACATACTATTCTTATGGAGCATGCAAAATGTTTGTCAAGTCCTTATATTGTTTTTATGCAGTGTCGCATTGATATACTTCTACAGTCTACGGTATTTGTACCAATGTGCGACCAATGTTTCATAATATTTCTGGTTAGTGGTATAGGTATAGAAAACAGGTAGAATTTCATTAAAATTTCAGGAGATCTAATATTTTTAACAACCTCGAAATCTCCAATTGTCTAAAAACTCTAATGTAAATTTTAATATGTTTATTTTTTTTTTCATTTCGTCGTAACACTTATGATAATATTATTTCATTTGAAAGTTATACAAACACATAGCAGTATGTGGCTTGGTGAGGTGCGGTCGTAAGCTTAATCTGTGGAAATGCTCTGAGTGTACGTATACTGGTCGGCGTTGCTACCTCTCGGATGGGTGACCGCCCAGAATTTTTAGCAACAAAATCCTTGTGAACACGAACAACACGTGTTGTAAAACCAACCCCCCTCCCCTGCAAACATCGTATGGTAAAGGTTGAAGTTCAATTAAAAAAAAAGCCATACAATATTCATATAATTAATCAAGGATTCAGTATTTATTTACATAATATTACATAATATATGCTATAGTATAATGTTATATTCTTTCAAATATTTTGTTGAAGTTATAAAAATCTGCCAAGACAATGATTGAAGACCATTGTCCAATTCTTTTCAGAACATTTTTCAATATTTATGATGCATTGAAATCTGAAACAGTTTTGAACCATTGACGATCTCAATCTGTTTTAATACGTCTCATTAGTTGTAATTAACTATCAATACTCAATAGCTAAACAATAATCATAAAACAAATTATGACATAATTTTATGATACATGAAAAATATTTGGGGGGCTTTAACTCCCCCCCCCCAAGTCGCTGTACAAATACGCTTGTACATTTATAAATGTGTTTCAAGAGTAGGAAAATCGATAGTATAATTAAATGTATATACTGTTATATACTTATATGTATAGCTTTATCGCTATGAACGACACTGGACGACTCAGTCGAGAAACTACTGCAAGGTTACTTTGGAGATTTTTCGGTCTCAAGACCGTCGCTTCGTCATTGTTTGACACACTTACTCTATCCCAATCTTAAGTAAATAAGACTACGATAGTATTTGTGTATATCAATCGATAAGAGCAGTAAACATACTATATAGTATATAATATATTAATATGTACAATTGTACAATATGTATATATTATATATTAATGTGCAGTTATTGTCACCACAACCGCTGAAAAGAATATTATATCTTGTTTATTTTTTTTTTTTAAGTAATCATAGAGTAATAATAATTATTATCATTATACTCTCATCATTTTTTAGGTACGGATTTTTATAAAACGTATAGAGAGAAAGATGTTTTTCCTTTCGTCGAGTATGTAAGTTTCATAAAAAAAAAAATGAACACTTCTTTAACCTGACTATAACGATTCCAAGAATAATTTTATGGCAACCGAAATGGCACCGATAAAATATAATGTAATATCATGGATGAAATAAAAATGGAACTTGGTGTCACATCCCTAACTACCTAAGTAAACGTTATACCAAAAACATACAATACCCGCAGCTATATGATTTATAAGCCTCAGTCCATAGTAACAACTACTAGTTTTCCAATTAAATAATTTCCGATAACTAGACAATGTTCAATTGGTTTTTGATATGATTGATTTATTACAATAATATATTGTTAGACAAAGAAAGGCACTTAAACTTGATTTGTGTTCGTTTTACTTCAATTCCATTCTGTTAAAATAAAATATATTATAATATCGCTTAAAGATTTCATCATATAATTTCATTACCTATGCTAAAGTTTTAAAATCAAACAATAAAACACTTCATACCTATTAATTAGTTATATAGCGAAAACATATCACAAATGCATTAATATTATATAATTATTAGTTATTATAAAAGTTACTTGACAGTTTTATCAAAATATTATGTTATTACGAGTTTTTGTGTAACACGATTTAAACGTACGTCAAATTATTAGTAGGGTGACCTACACCTACTGATTGCATGTAGTCTGCAGTACAATAATATTATAATATTATACATAAATAAATATTAATTGAGTTTCACGCAAATTACATAGGTACCATTATATTGTAATAGATCAATCGGAGCAGTGGCTTCACATTGTGAAAAAACTTAAAATCCAAATCCAAAATGTACTTCTGTACTTGTAATATAAATCAATAGTCGTATTGCACTACAAGCTACAGATTAGATCAGTTAAAATATTATTATGATAGTATGATTTTTGTAGTTTCCCTTTAATTAATAGGTACAAGAATAAACGCCATATAGGTATAATATGTCATTAATACATTATATTTATTTTTTTAGCACAACTTAATGTACATCAATTTTTGGATGATACTCAACTGTCTTAATTTCCTTACATCAGTAGCGTTTATCATTTTCGCTGCATGGAGAATTGGAAGGTTTGCAATATTTTTTACTGGGTTGATAGGATGCTGTAAGTATACTTCCGAGATGATACATTTTCATATCAATCGAGTAAAGTATAATGTAATCATGAACTAATATTTTACTGTTTTGCGTTGAATTGACTAGCTGCAAATGCATATAAAATATACGTCGTCTATCAATTTTACACGGACGAAACATTAACAGTCACGGTCAACGATATCCAAAACGTAACCACTTAAAGTGCTTTCAAAAACGATAATTTATTTATTTAATATTAATAGTTACACGACGGATTAATGAATCGACATTTTTTAAAAATTTTCTGTGCAGCCGCCGAGTAATGGAGATCAGTCGTTACCCCAGAATCACGCAACTGTAGAAATCAGAACAGAAACAATCAGTGTGAACGATCACGGCAGACCCACTTTGGACGTAAAAAATATTACACAGACCGCTTAAATAGACACGACAATAAATCACTGAACCACTTAAGTCTTTGAAGTTTAAAATTTGAAAATTCATTAGTGGCCAAAAATACAGTGGTCTTGCTCTTGATTATTATAATACCAATTTCAAAACAATTATGTATCTCCAGTATTATAAATTATCAAATATTACATTTAAATATCATGATATAGATAAACAAAAATTGTGATTGTTACATGCAAAAAAAGCATAGCATTTAATAAATACGATCATAGTATAACATTATGTAACTGTGCGAGTGTGTCATTTGAGAAAAGTGACATAGGTATCGTGTATAAAGGAATTTTATAATATTATCGTAAGTCTGAAATGTCGGCTCCGGGTTTATTGCAGCGTATCGCCGTGTTGATTGTAAATTATAATATTAGATAGGTATTATTATTACCACGTAATTGTATATGATTGTTATTATTTTCTTAATTAAAAATTAATGAACGGTTCATATTATGATCTACCTACTATGATGAAGTTTAGTAGTTTATTGAGATCAATTAATACCTACTGTAAACATTTACTAATATTATATATACATAATATAACCTACCGTTTCGTCTTGACGTGTTGTATTTGTGTGTTACGTTTTTGCTACATTTTAATTAAATCAAAAAATATAGTAAATGATACAGTGTTGGGTCGGGAAAAACTCAATAAAAAATTCAAATCTTGAGATAACAAAAAGTCGATTAGCACGAAGATACGAAGTCATAATATAATACCTACATATGAAAAATGAATATTTTATAATTAGTAAATTAATTATTGTATTTGATGAAACGCACGAGGTTTAGGCAGTCAAGTTAATATAAAATAAGAACCGTCCGACAGAGGACTATTATAATATACTAAAAGCACTTACCAATGTGTATTAAATATTGAAAAATTAACTGAAGTAAGGATAATGAAATGTGTTTGAAAACTTCATAATTAATAAACAAAACTTTTGAGGGAGAGTTTTTGAAATTTCGTATGTTTAATATACGGTTTTAAATGACAACGTCATCCTTTAATAATTTAAATATTGTGTTAAATTGTAATTTATTTTGCGACTACTATATTTGAAAGACATTATTTGGTTAGCCGAGAGATATGAAAATACAACAAAAAATAATTTTTAGGTATAATAATGGTATCTATAATTAATATAATTGCTCGTGTTCATACTACTACTCGTATGTCAAAGTTTGGTACTTTTAATTATTTCTAACTGTTTGGTTTTAAGAAAGCACATTACCTAGTTATAGTTATTTAATTAATTATAAATTGTATACGGTATACACATTTGATGAATACGAATAATTGTAATAAAATATTGTTAATAATATTTTACATAAAAAAATATTAAATAAAATTACAATAGTATATTAGTATGCGAGTATAATAACATTTTTATTTATTATTTTTATTTAAAAATCAAAAATTGATTTCAATATAATATTTTTATAGAGTAATAGGTAAATAAAATTAATAAGAACAAGATAATAATGAATAGAAACAAATATTCATAATATATATGTAATCATGGGGGAGGAAGCAATATCAGTAGCATCTCTGAAATATAAATTATGTATGATATAATTACGTATAGTAGCTATAATATTATGTTTGGTCTGTTTCAATTAAAACGAGAGAAGAAAACATAAATTAAATACTATTTATGTTATCCGTTGCTCATGACGATTTCCCGAAAAATCTTATTCGAAGAAAATATTTTCAAAAACCTTGATAATATTATTAAACTTCGTGTGGCGTGAAAATACACGACATGCTAATTTAAACTAGAATTATTTCTGTCGAAATATTGCGAAAATATGTATATAATGTAAAGTTGTATAATGTATATTGTAAATTGAAAACTTCAAGAAAAAGTGTAATATTTCCGGAGTCGATTGCACATACCGGCCTAGATATACAATAGGTATTTCACCGAATTATTTTTCCATTTTATTTTAACGTACCGTGATATGACGGATGACGTCGAAGATTCCACGATGGAGAATACTTGAGAAGAAAGGTGATCTATTATAATGGTGACTTTTTTTCACTGTAAATTATTATACAGGCAAATTTTTTTTTTATTCGAAACATCAAATTTGGTATAATTAGGTAGTTAATTAATTATTGATCGTAATGAAAAAAATTAAAAAAACAAATCGAATCGACCTGCTGGCATCAAAGTGTTCGTATAAACAATTAGGGCCGACCGCCCTCATTATTTTGTTGTTTAGGAAATGTAGGACATTCGCTCAATACACTATTTTCCTGCATTTTATATTTTTCACACTTTCGTGTTTGATGCTGAAACGCTTTGACATAAACACTGTGAGCATATAATCTTAATTAAGTAAAAATGTACTACTATTTACTAAGTTTTTTTTATCAGTAGTACTATAATATTATTCATTTGAAGTACTTTTGAAGACATTAGTAAATTGTTTTTTAAACACCATTGTTCTTAAGCAAAAACAGGCTGACAGTCCTGATATTAAAAAACTAAATGTTCACCACGAAGAGAAAAAGATCGATTTTATTTTTCCGGTATCAAAAACATGAAAATGTTTGTTTTTTAATTCGTTATTTTGATGCATGCAAACTTGAATAACTCCTTTTGTAAACATGATATTGAAAATATATAAAAAAGATATTACAAGATGGGCTGAGTTACTTTTTTTGTTGTGGTGGACATTAAAATTTTTATTTGGTTTTTGTTGCTTATAACTGGACATATCCTGCGTTTTTCGTTTTTATTTAACAGTTATAACTCAACATCGTTTTATCAATATTAAACTGTAGGCACCTAGCTAGGTCTTACTTGTAAGCTAATTTGAGTTAGTATTTAAATATATTTAAATTTTTGCACTTTCATTTACTCTAAATTTTCATTAAAATTTCCAATATAAAACACCTTATAATTTGAATGAGTAGCGTCTTGTAGATCTCCACAATAACAATTTATCCGTTGGCTCGAAATTTTATTTTCAGACTAAATATTTATTTGATGTATTATTATACATTTAAAAATTTTTAAAAATAGCAGTATACTGTTATACTTCTGATTACTTGACTATTTTTAATGTATCTAAGAAAAACTTATTAACAACGATAATAAGTCGTTAAATTGCTGCTTGTGACTTTTGTCTTTCATTCGTTTATATAATATTTATGGTTTTACGAAGGTATGAGTGACCTATTTATTACATCATAATATATAAATGTGTTGGACCGGAAATGTCGAAAAAAAATCCAATCTCCTAAATTAGGATCGTCATTAAATATACTACTGCACCTCTATAAAGCACCTTTGCGAGGGAACACCGGAAAAGGACTAAGTAGGTACGGCACTATAAATTTGTAACAGCAGGGACGAAAAGGATACCTACGCTAATTGCAGCCGTCGATTCTATAGAGGGACTGCATTTTTTCCCTCGACCGGAAAAATTCAACCTTCGTCGTCGTTATCTTTGTGTATACTAACTGCTGACTTTTCCATGACTTTTCCTCCACTAATCAAACGTGTAAATCATTATTTATTTTTTTTACCCGGTCGTGAGCTCGGGGATTGTGTTTCAAAAATGACGACTCACAATAATAATAGTAATAATAATAATAATAATAATATGTAACGTCGACTGCAGTTCCAATTGCTGCAGCTGTCGCAGACTGACCGTCATTAGTGTTAGGCGTATATTATTATGTGTATAAAACAGCGAAGCAGCAGGATAACACATTTTACACGGTAGTTATAATATGACATATAACATATTATTATTATTATTATTATAATTATTAAACATCCTCCGCTATCACCGTTGCCCTCCTCGTCAGCTTAACGTAACACGTTTTACGTCTATATTTTAGTTTTTTAAACATTTTTCCGGCCGTAACCAAAACACGGGTCGAGTCCCGCACGGGACATTATATTATTATAATGGTACCCCTGCTCTAACCACCCCTAACCACTATCGACGTAATTTTTTTTCTCTGCGTCCCGACAGCGTTCCGTAATTATTTAAACTGCAGTATTATAACATAACAATACCTACCTCTAATTTTGTTTTCGACCAACATATCTGATCAATAGTCCTCGCAGAAGCCATACCGTGCTCGCTCAATAATATTAAGGACCATGGTCATCAACCATGACCATCTTCATTTTATACCATCGGCCGATTGCAATTGACGTTAACCGACATACAACGCGACGTAAGCCACAGCGGAGGTCCCTAAATTGAATTCAAACCGCACAGCAATAAAATTCTATGATTTTCATCTTTAACAATGGCCGTGCCTCATTATTATTATTATTTTAATATAAAACAATATGTTATGTGCTAATGGGCTTGTTCTGTGTAATTCACACGATGGCTGCTGTGTTTTCGCTGCAATTAATGGGATTTTTAAAACCAGAAATGCGCTAAATAAAATTACAAATCACACACTCGTCGTGTAATGATTTTCTCATTTAGATTATTTTATTCAATATCGTTTAAATATGATTGCACTATTTCAATGAATAAATTTTAAAAAAAAATGATAAGTAGAAAAAAAATTACTCGTACATTATTTATACATTTTATTTATTCGTGTTTATTTCGTTGAATAGAGTTGGTAATAAACAGGTGTACTACAATATCTAAAACGTGATGCGTTAACCTTATAAATTATTTATTTATTTTTTATTTGATAAAAAGCTTCAATTATTATAAAGGTTATTAGAATACATTAACTTAGTAGTTAAAAAAACAAAAATAATACATGTATATAGGCATATATTCAAATACATTGTGCCCTTCAAATATTCTATTTTACCATAATATTATTATGTTTATGTGTGTATTTGTGAGTGTGAGTGTACATGAGTGTGTATAAGCCATCTACAGCCAAGTCGAACACGCTCATGATTCTGAAATTTGGTTAGGTTTGGTTAGCATAGGTGATTCTATACCGGTGGATGTACACTTCGAAGCCAACTTTCCAAAATTCGAATTTTAAAGAGGGGCTCGCTATAATGGCACCGATCATCTAATCTAACCATGGCATTTGAAATAGTAGATTTTTGAAATGGGATGGGGGCACAACTGTAGTGTAAACTGGTGTGGATCCAGAATTTACGTCAAAAAGTAAAAATGAATGATTAAAAATTGCATTATGTATTTGTGTAGGTGCTTTGATTTGCATCTGATGGATAAATTAAAAAAGGGAAAAGGGGGCTAGTCGTGATGTACGAAGTCATATTATATTTTAAACACTGGAGCCACTGTCTATCAGGAATTTGAAGACTCTCGAAAAACAAATATTTTTTTAAATTGTATAGGTTGTCACTTATCAGTTGTCATCGAAGTAACAAAATATAAAATAGTTATTACCTATGGACATAATTTTATATATGGTTCTGAACCACCCAAATTATTATGGTACTAAAAATATAAGTTGGGTACATTTGAAGGATTTTAAGATAGGGTAAATCCATTAGCATTGTTCAATTTGTCGCAAGGAATGCCATGGATCAGCTCTTTAGTTGTTTAATAACTTATCATACAAATGATAAAAATAAAATGATTTAAGAATA